GGGTCGTATGGGCACCATGTGTACTGCAGCCGCAGTAGAAGTGGTGTTTCTTGGGTAACATAGCCTTTACTTCAACTAGACCGGTTGCCAGTCAAGGCTACAGTCTGTTCTGCTATTTACCCATAGCGCTGGGGAGAGAAGAAGAAGATTCATACCTTTTCCCAAGTGAATGGATCCGATTGGAATTCGAACTCGGCTTCGATTTGTCAATCCGAGCCGCTATCCATTACTCCATCGTGGGAATGGATTATACCTATGTATTATACACGATACAAAAAGCATTTGGTAAAGTACGAAACAAAATAATTGTTTGAAGAATTTTATTTCGTTTGGAAGTATATCAGAATAATCCAGAACTTATAATCTGGGATCAAAACACCTGCAGACGGATAATAAAATTAATTCAATAAATACAGAAAAATAGAAAGTGGAGTATGACAAGGATTTGTCTTCTCAGCTGATGTATTCATTATTTAGACAATCCTGGGAGAACTAGAAGTCCTATCAGGATTTATTATTGACAGGCACAAACTTAACAACATAAAATATGCAAATAACACAGTGTTAACAGCAGACATATAGAAGAAACTGAAGAAAATCCTGGAAAAGATTGTAAAGAGAAATAAAAAAAGGAAGGACTAAGCATCAATTGTAAGAAGATAGAACATGTAATTGTTAGTGTTATGGGGTCCATCCCTTTTTCATATAAGTGGACTCGACCAGAGTGTTACTTGGAGTGCTGCCGTTAAATACCCAGAGTCAGTCAGAATATAGAGAGTGAGAGTGAGAGCAGTGATTGTGATTGAGTTGGAGGTAGAGTAATAGTGTGAGGTAACCGCTTGTAGAAGTCAGTTACTAGCACGTAGACTCTTAGGAAGACCTACTTCGAGACTATATATATATATATATATATATATATATATATATATTATTGCTACTAACCGCGTTCCTGGATTTATTAACAGTATTACCCTTTGTATTATTGTGTAAATACATTTAATTTCTTATCTTTAATTCCTGCGTTTGTCATTCATTGGAGACCGAATTTCATCTCGGAATCCACAACAGTTAGCAAGCGGAACAGCTTACGATGCGAATGAGGAATTGGAGATGCCAAAATCAAGCAAGTACAAAAATGAATCCAAAGTTGCATTAGAATAGAAGAATATGCTTACCAAAAACAAAGCAAAGTATTAAAAACAGAGATTTCGAAACGAAGAAAACGGAGATAAACTCTTATGTAATGTCTTCTTCTATGGCAGTGAATGCTGGACAGTCTCCTTAAGAATAAAGTAAAGAGACAAGAGAAAAGTACTTCTACAGAAGGATGCTGAGAATTCAATGAACTAAACATCCGAGTAATGAAGATCGAAGGAAAATGAAAGCCAAAATAAATTATTATACTTTGAATCAAGAAGAGACATTTGAGATTTCAGGAACACATAATGACGAAGAAGAGATTGGAGAATTTGACGCACACAGGGACGGACTGAAGTCAAGACGGACAGAAGAACACAGCGGGCAATTTAACAAACGGGCTTGTGTAAACTGCTGGCGGACAGTGACAGCGAGAGATAGTACAAAAAGCGACAAAATGTAGAGAGTTGTGGAGAGCTATGATCGCTTACGTGCTGAAGGAATACAGTACATAAAAGAAGATCCTTATTTTTAAAATACGAAATGATACTGAGGCGAACAAGGGTGAGATAATAGGTAGAGTTACAAGTCTTCGCTTCATCTGTGACAAATTTGTCCAGAATTCACTGTCATAAACAAGATAGATTCCCCGTTTCAAAACAAATTGTTCTCCGCTTCGTCTAATATTTGATCTGCACTCTTGGAATTTATAATTTGATACTGTGCAATAGCAAATAAAACAAGAAAAGGATTCTATTTGACGCACTAAAGAGTTCGAGTTAACAAAAATGTTATCATATCCTTCAGATATTTGGAGCGCAATTCTCCCCTCAGAGAAAACTATATTCTACGAGAAAAGAATTGTAACGTCGTTGCCCGAGAGATGGCAAAATACAGTCGAATATCAGCAAAAATTGCAATATTAGCTCTGGTAAAAATGCAATAATAATAACAGAAAAAAATTGCTATATGAGCATTGGTAAAAAAAAAGAGGCTGAGACATTAAACTTATATGTCCCAGAAATTCATACACAGATGTCATCAAGGACACAGAAAAAGACATTGGTTAGATTCAGTGACTTGACTCAAAGAGTTGTGAGTTCAATTATCAGGCCACAGCAGTGGTGAACCAAAAAACTTGGAGAGATGGGTTAAAGGGAAATAACCTAGAAGAATCGGAAGAGGCATGGCACGTGGAAATAGAACAATCTACTCCGGTGGACGAAAGAAAGGCTTTGGTTCGAAATTTCAATCACCTGAAGAAGGCCGGAGCGTACAACAACCGAAATTTTGTGAATATACCAATGAAGATGAGGATAACTCTCCGAGAAATGTAAATAATGCAAGTAGAGATAACTTAATAAACCTAACGAACGTTTTTACCAGTCTAATATCAGAAAATATAACGATAATGGCAAATAGTATAATTAAAAAATATTAGACGCCTAATATGAAATGTACTGTTATAATTTTATTATGGAAATGAAATGAAAATAAAGAAGGAATATATGAACAGAGGCTGGAATTAATGCACAAATGCATGAGACAATTTGGCGATTATATGTGCAACCAAGTCTAATATAATATTATCTATTATAATATTCATATATGTGTAATCAAGTAAATTATAATATTATCTATTATAATATTCATATGTGCAATCACGTCTATTATAATATTATCTATTGTAATATTCATATGTGCAATTAAGTCTAAAATAATATTATCTATTGTAATATTCATGTGCAATCATGTCTAATATAATATCTATTTTAATATTCATATATATGTAATAAAAGTCTATTATAAGATTATCTGTTATAATATTCATTTGTGCAATCAAGTCTAATATAATATTATCTGTTATAATATTCATTTGTGCAATCAAGTCTAATATAATATTATCTGTTATAATATTCATATATGTGTAATCAAGTCTACTACAATATTATCTATTATAATATTCATATATGCAATCAAGTCTAATATAATATTATCTATTATAATATTCATATGTGTAATCAAGTCAATTAATTTATTATCTATTATAATATTGATATATGCGTAATAAAGTAATATTCATAATATAATATTATCTATTATAATATTCATATATGTGTAATCAAGTCTACGTGTGCGTGTTTGCGTGTTATGGTCGGACACAAATACCATGATCATTTGACCTCACGTTTGGTATGAAAACTCACTCAACCTGCAGTTGTGATATAAAATTCGACTGTTCTATCTTAGTAGTTCATCGATATCACTAGTTAATAGTAGATAGTGTACAAATTCTAGGTCATTGAAACTATTTGTACCAAAAAGAAGGGAGTTTGTTATAATGTACCTAAGGTTTTCTACTATCTGGTTGACGAAAAGAGATAATAGGATAGGTGAACTTGAAGGTCACTGAATATCGCCAATATTCAATTTTGGAGTAAAATAGCTTTTTTAAGATAAACGAAATATTTCTCCGGAAAATATCGAGTATCTGTTGTAATGAAATAAACACATCCCATCTCCCTCTCTCAATTGTAACCATTCATCACGATAAAGTAAACACTTTCAACGCTAAAGCCGAATTAGTAAAATAACGCTTAGTAAGCTTCTACTTCGTGTTGTTACTATATTATAATAACCCTGATCGTAAAATATATTTATGATTGTTCGAGATTCTTGAACTTAGTAGCAACATCGATGTATCCTGACAATAGACAAAATGTGTGGATTTCATCCCTCAAGAGGTTGCGTAGCCATTTTTAATGCCCGTGTGACAGTTTGAGATTTCTTGTTACTTTTGACTTCCATATTTTATATTAGTGTGAATTAATTGTTGCGGAATGAGCGAATCGACTTTCAAGACTGGGACGACTTGTGGCTGGCTACGATTAATGCACGTTTGAGTTTCTTTCTTTGACGCATGTCTATTTCTAGAGGAATGGGTCTTTCCGGGCGATTCATTGAGGAGGACGTTGTAATGGTCAATGTCATTTCGAGAAATTTGACTTCAGTATAAAATGCCGTAAGTTCAAAAGAAAGAAATAGGAATAGAAAAGAAAAGAAAAAAAAGGTAAGGGAATGATATAAAGAAAAAAGAACTGAATACAGAGAGGGAAAGAAAACGAATAAAGTTGAAAGAATGAAGTGATAACAAAAGAAAAATGCCTCAATAAAGAAGAAAGGGGGAATAGAATAAAAGAAATACAATGGAAAGTATAAAGAAAAAAATGAAAGAGAAAGAGAGGACGAAAAGAAAAAAGGTAAAAGAAAGAAGAATTAGGCAAGCAGACATACATCAATAGAGAAGAAAGTGGGGAATAGGGTAAACGAAATACAATGGAAAGTATAAAGAAAAGTGAAAGAGAAAGAGAGGAGGAAAACATAAACAGAGAAGTAAATAAATAGAAATTGAAAAAAAATAGGAAATAAAGAAAAAATGAAAAGAATAGAGAATGAAAATGAATGAGACAGAAAGGAGGTAAAAATGAAAGAAAGAAAAATAAAAGAAAGAAATCTAGTGGAAGAAAAAAGAAAGAAAGAAGATAGATATAAAGAAAAAAGGAGTAGAAATGAAGGAAAGGAGAAATAAATAAATAAAATAAAAATAAATGAAAAACAAGAAATAAAAACAAAGCCAGACAATATTTTAGACTGTAAATTGTTCTCTTTTTGGAGATAATATTGGATTAATGATAAAGGTCTAACTAATTAACCCATAGCTGGAGGAGAAAGACGTACATTCAATCTTTCCCAAGGGCATTTGTGCGTAAGCGAATAAGACGAACCCAAATGAAATTGGAACTCGGTTCTCCGATTAACAAGTCCCAGCCATTATCTTTTACACCAGACGCACATCCAAGCTCACAAAACCTTGTATTCCCAAGTAGTCACTCATCTAGATACTGACCAGGCTCGACTTTGCTTAATTTCGGCAATCATACGGGATCCGGTGTTTCAACGTGATGCAGACGTAGGCCTAAAGAAATCAAAGATAAAAAGAAAGAAAAAATAAGAAAAGATGAATTAAAACGGAAAGAGTAAAAGATATGTTTTCTTTACGGATTATCACCCCTTTGTGGGTTATTTAAAGCCTAAACACATTTTGGATTGTAGGAAGTTGCTTACATACCCAGTACGTAAGACCGGAAATGAAAATTGGCGGGAAGGAGAAGTTATTCAATACCTTAGTAGTAAGTAATGTATATTGACGAAGGTGGACGATTTCGACACAGAAGACATATAAATCAATTGAGGTCTAGCTATTCACAGAATAAGCAGCCAGAATAAGCAACCAGTAAAATTTAATTTACCAATGGATATACTTTATGATACCTTTGACGTACATATTTCTAAAACTAAAATTACAATACAACGCCAGGGTAAGCGTAAACTTATTTCAAGTGAAACATTGGAAGGAGACCCATGTCAGCAAAAGTATCGACTAAAGAAATATCTAAAAAGGTGGGTGTTGTGGAGATGAACACACCTCTCCAGAATATGACTTGGACTCGTCCAAATAGCAAATATACTGACGCCGAAGCAAATGGAACCGAGCCTTATTTCCTTACTACAGGATTCAGTTAGACTACGACGGCTCCAAGCGAGATTATATTTCATGAATGTGCTATCTGAATTCAATGGAATGAAGATAAAAAATAGAAATAAAGTACAAGGGAAAAATAAGAAGGACAAGAGAAATACCGAAAGAAAATAGAAAAGACAAAAAATAAAACAAAATAAGACAGAAAGAAAAGAGAATATATAAATAAAGGAAGCAAAAGAAGAGAAAGAAATAAAGAAAATGCCAAAAAAAAAAAAAGATGAAAAGAAAGCAAAATGAAGGCAAGAATGGCGAATTAAGAAAAAGAAATGAAAGGAAAAAAAAAAAATAGACAAAAAGAATCAATCAGAGTAAATTGAAATATAATGGCAAATAAAACAAAACTGAAAAAAAGAAAAGAGAAACAAGCGAGCAAGAAATAAAGTCAAAAACGCAAAACAAAAAATGTTGAAAGACGAAACGCAGAAAGAAAATGAAATAAAATAAAAGAAGCAAATCGATTAAATAAATAAGCAAATCAATAGATAAATGAACAGGAAGTAGGAATTCATTTTAAGGATACGTTTTGCACAAAAAACAAAAAACAAAAAAGATATTGACTGATCGCTACAAAAGGCTCTCTTTTAGTTTTTAAACATACATCACGAGATCATTTTTTGTTCCTAGAACGAACTTTTTGGATTTTTACATATTTATATATTTTACAGTATTTACATTAGTCGGACTATTGTCCTCATCTTTGTCGCCATATTTGTCACAACGTTTCGGCCGTTGTACGCTCCGGCCTTCTTCAGGTGGTTGGAATTTCGAACTGAACCCTTTATTTCGATCGCTAGGGTAGACTGTTCTAATTCCACGTGCCATGTTTGATGGATGTCAGTTATCAGTTATCTCCTGCTAATTTTCCCTCTGAAAGGAACCAGGAATTGAACTCACCTTCTTCCTCAAGGACACATGGCACAGTGGATAAAGGCGTTGGTTAGATCCAGTGACAGACCCAAAGAAAGCCGGAGCGTACAACGGCCGAAACGTTGTGACAAATATGGCGACAAAGATGAGGACAATAGTCCGACTAATGTAAATACTGTACATAATACCTCATCTCAGAAATATAGACAAACTCTTATATATTTTAGTAAAGATTATTCCAATGTTGTACGGTGTGATAATAAATAAAACTTAAAAATATATCTGTAATGACAAAAGTACGCAGTGTAGGCTTTAAGAAAGCTTTACTCAACTGAGAATACAAGTTTTGAGTATAGTGTCCTTTTATAGTCCCAGTAAACAGAAATAGCTCTCTCAAAGAGGAAAGTAACAAAACAAGGGGAGACCACACTTGATTATTCATAACAATATCTTTTGATTTTATAATCCCCCGCTGGAAATAATAAAACTCTGGTAGGTTTGGTTCCGTAGAAAATTAACTTTTCATGAAAAGAATGCACTTATTTACGCGTCGGTACTGTAAGTAATTTGATTTAAGAATCAAGTAAATTCCTTTTTTTTTTGTAACGAGCTAAATTCATATAAAAGTTAACGACAATTGTGGATGAGAGAGAAGATAAAGAGAAAAAAAAAGATCTCTGCAATTCTTATCGCTTTCTGTTTCTGTTCACGTCATTTCAGATATTTACTAAGTTTAGTTTGATCTGATCGAAAGCCGCCATATCAAAGAGGCCATATTGTTGGACATTTCATAAACATTCACTGCACATGCATTCATCCATGGATGGAATGATCAAAGGACATATTTCTCTTATTCAATAACGTGACAAGATTAGAGAATGCCAAATGACTAAGTTTGCACGTCACAAATCACGTGGTCAGGTTTCTTCTTCTTCTTCTTGTTCTTCTTGTTCTTGTTCTTGTTCTTCTTCTTCTTCTTCTTCTTCTTCTTATTATTATTATTATTATTAACTTATTCTTCTTGTCTTTCGTTCTCAATAAATACCGCCTCTTTTTGTTTTTGTTCTAAATAAATTCCCCAATCTCATTGCTTTTTTAGCAAATAATTCTTCTTGTTTTTCGTTTTTAATAATTATTTCTTCATGTTTTTTGTTTTTAATCATTTCCTCTGGTTTTTCGTTCTCATTCATTTCTTCTTCTTCTTCTTCTTCTTCTTCTTCTTCTTCTTCTTCTCCTCCTTCTCCTCCTCCTTCTTCTTCTTCTTCTTCTTCTTTTTCTTCTCCTCCTTCTTCTTCTTTTTCTTCTTCTTCTTCTCCACCTTCTTCTTCGTGGTTTTCTCCTCCTCCTCTTCTTCTTAGTCTTCTTCTTCTCCTCCTCCTCCTTCTTCGTCGTCTTCTCCTCCTCCTTCTTCTTCTTCTCTTCCTCCTCATTCTTCTTCTTTAGTCTTCTTCTTCTTCTCCTCTTCATCTTCCTTCTTCTTCTTCTTCTTCTTCTTCTTCTTCTTCTTCAACAGGTATTTCGTCTCGTTTTTCTTTCACAATAATTTCTTCTTCTTCTTCTTCTTCTTCTTTCCATTATAGTTCTCCTTCTCCTTCAATATTATCAGCATAAAGTTATTTCCATCGTCAAAGAATTTTACTCTGTTTTCGCGCCACTGGGCACAGCAGGCCCAAAGCTGTATGAAGGCGATGTGGAAATCCGGTCTGGTTTCCGAAATGCAAGTTGTGCCATATGGCGTCAGCCTGCTTCTCTAATCAATTATTGTTCATCGAAGCGAAAGTCGAAAACACTTCGAAGCACTTTACACACTCGCCTGTTTGCTAATCGATGAATGACAAAAATCAAGGCATCTTTGCCCCCAAATATCAAATAGACAAGCTGATGCACAGATTCACGATTGAGCAAAAACAGTACGTTATTTGCATGACGGTGGACTCAACCGCTCCGAGTAAGACGACCAGCGTTTTCCGTGACCAGCTGTTCTTTGCGAAATAGTTTCCCTCAAGGTATGATCACGTGACTTGGAAGAAATTAAAGTTCATTGGAATATATTAAAATATATCTAAAATTTTACAATTATTATTCAGATATACCAAGTTACGCTTGTTCATTTTGGATTAGTGCTCTGAAAAGAGGCATGAATCCACGTTTCCTTGCCTAAGTACTAAATGAAAAGCTACAATAACGTAAGAGATATCGGCAGTTAAAGCAGAATTTGTATACCCTTCTCATTCTTCTTCTTCGTCTTCTTCTTCTTCTTCTCCCACTTCTTCTTCTTAGTCTTCTTCTTTTGTCTTCTTCTCCTCTTCATCTTCCTCCTTCTTTTTCGTCTTCTTCTCCTCCTTCTCCTTCTCTTACTTCTTCTTCAACAGGTATTTCGTCTCGTTTTTCTTTCACAATAATTTCTTCTTCTTCTTCTTTCCATTATAGTTCTCCTTCTTCAATGTTATCAGCATCAACATAAAGTGATTTCCATCGTCAATGAATTTTACTCTGCTTTCGCGCCACTGGACACACTAATACCCTCGAAAAAGGCATGAACTGAATTCTCCTTAAATATTGTCCCATCGCCAGATATGTTTACAAAAAGGTCGACTCATCGGAATGGTAGGATGCTAAGACGAGTGAAGTTGAATGAAAACTACATCTCCATTACTTGTTTTCCGCCATGATAGCCGTAAGAATTACAGTTTTTTTTATAATTATAATTATAGTTATTATAGCTTATATAGCTATTGTCAACCTTGACAGCGACACCTCAATTCATACAAATGGGCAATAACGCAAATCTTTACAACTTTTGATTACTATTTATTTAGTTACCCTGTTGGTAGAGCTGGAAATACGCCAACTGTATCCCCCGCAAAAGGCCAAGCCCCTCCCCCAGTTAGAAAAATAGCCACCTTACGGCCTGATGATTGAAGACTCAAATACATACCCAATTAATGCTTAACAAGAGAATCAATTATAAGCCGAACTAATGTTTTCCTCTAGACTCAGTTATAAACATGACCAATTTCTTACCTATAGACTCAAGTATTTTCTAATTTATTTATGACTAGCAGTAGCGCCCGGCGTTGCCCGGGGATGTAACAGTTAAGAGATAGATCAAGTATCGACCATCATAAAGACTGAAAAATAAAATTGACAAAGATTATTGTTTAAGGTTGACGGGCACGCATGTCTTAATTAGTTTTTTTTTTTCGAATTGGTCAAACCCAAACTCCAACAAAAACATTGTTTTCAATTGTTATGAGTCTACCGATTTGAATAGAATTTTATTATAAACAATTGTCTTGTAAATAGAATTTTTAAAGCATTCTGAATGAAAAATAAAGAAAAAAATGTGCAAGACAATAAGAAACACTACATGCCAAAAAAAGTGAAGTTTTGTTGAAATCGGTTGAAAAATGTCGGAAATCCAATCCAATATATAAACGTACACACACACACACACACACACACACACACACACACACACACACACAC